AATATTGACAAAGTGACAAAATTAAGTGTCAGCTTAGAGTACAACAATTTAAGACAGTAACGTGACTAGATGTTTACGAATGTGAGATAAGTATGCGTTTTGCGGCGGTAACGAAAAGCAGGCGGTGTGTGTGCGCGCTCGTCAACAGGGACTGAGCTGGCAGACGCGATACTGTACTGCGCGTGCAATTGCAGTACAAGCTATTTCAATGCATGCAGGGAATTCGCGAGTCGGCGGATTCCAGCCGCCCGCGCCGTGGTGGCCGCCGTGAAGCGTCGCGTGCCCCGTGAGGTCAATCTGCTTATAGCGACAGAAACTTAACTAGCAGCGATATGTTTTATCATACGAATAATAAACTAACGTCTGCATTAAATTGCACAGCAATAAAATGAAGGTCATTTCCATTAATGATGACAGACAAGCATGCAATTCAATAACGATTGAGGACTTTGAACCGTTTTGTCTCTAGATATACTGTCCAATAATTAACTATTATTCCAGGTAATAAAACAATTGATCAAATAAAAGTATGTAATTCTTTCTGAACTGACGATATTTTTGTAGTCTAGTGCCTAGTACCTATTATATCGAAAATATCTATTCTGATATTTTTCGTTACCAAAAATACAACAGGTAGGTATTCCTTAGTGAAATGTTGATTAGTGGCTTATGGTTTTGACGGGCGAGAGCAGCCGAGTGTACCGGGAAGGTACGTGCGGAAAGGTGTGGATTACAGTGAGGGCGATATAGTGGTCAGTTTCCGCGTGAGGGCGCACATCCTGGGATGAGGTCACACGCTCTGTGAACACGACACAATACATCTATCGTATAAGAGCACACATTACTTGTCTAGGCACAGATACAGTCTACATACTCTTACTCATTGAGGGGTATTTATAAATTCTCAAAACTATGACAAACATAACACGTTATAGGACCAGATAAAAACTGAACAAAATCGCACATCCTCTGAAACAAGCATAACTCATATATTTGAGGATGTATGTTTAAAAATGTGAATGTACAGGCATTCATCACTTACAGGGCCATCCCTGTAAGTGACGAATGTCGCATTCCTAGCATACTTATTTAGTAAATAGCTAATCAACAAGAGAGGAGGGGGGATGGGACATTATGTAAAGTAATATTAACAAGATTTAGTTATCTTGACTTTTGAATAACAGCATTGACAACTTTTTTATGTTTCAAAGTCGTGCAGTTCATCTACAAACAATGGCACTCTCGGTGACTTATATGTATTACTGTTAGCTATATCTCCAGACTTCGTACATGGAAAGTTCAATGAAGCAACAAAAATGTTGGAAGTAATAACCGCACAAGGACAAATGAGCAAAATTTACATTTAAGTACAAACATACACACATAATCTGTCGCCTGTATCTGTAGAGACTTTGGCACGCCAATTGCTACGATTCTTACATACCTCTTTCGCTTCATCAAAATTCATCAGTCTTCATGCATGCTCATCGGTTAAGAGTAATTTTAATTAGGCCCTTCTTTAATATATTGCCAAACTGGTCGATATATGTCCGTCTAGGGCGCCCTCTACCGACGAACATGGCTTATCCGTGTCAAATCAACCACACCATACCTAATATCGAGGGGTAACGGGCTATTTGGTTTAAGCGACATTTTGGGCGATATTGAGTTATTATATATATTCGACGGAGAAAAATTCGCTGATTCCGAATATATATATAACTCAATATCGCCCAAAATGTCGCTTAAACCAAATAGTCCGTTACCCCTCGATATATATATTTATCATTTCTGTGATAAATTTATCAGTGTACTAATTACTTTTAAGTTATCTCAGCATTTTCCTCATGCACATCACATTGACTGGATATGAATCTATCCGCGAATCGAACTGTTTGTTCGTTGTGAAATTTTCGTTCTTATTCTCACTATCAGAGGGACCAAAACGGTTTATGGTAGTTTTATAGTCTCTACTATAATTCGATGGTATCTAATCTGCTTAAAAGTTTTAAAAACCTATAATAAAGTACCGACCTAAAAAAACTAAAAATTGAATAACTTTATTCCTCTCCGATTTATAAAAAAAATCGTAAGCTGTCTTGTTAAGGGTAGAACGTGACTTTACAATACAATCTCAAAATTCGTTTAACTAGTTATCGCGAAAAAATCAGTAGTTGTACGTTCGTACTTGGATCAAAAAATTTTTAGGTGAAGTCCGAATTGAGATGGTTTTAATATGTAATTTAATGCTCAACTGACTGCATCGTTGGTCGAATGGACGCAAGCGTGACTGTGGTCAAGCGATCTCTAGTTTGATTCCCGGGGTGGGCAAAGAAATGAGTGATTGGATTTTCTGTAAAGAAACATCATCTTAACTCATTCCTTATTATGTGAGACTCAAGTTCCACTAAGACTTTTTTTCACAGAATGTAACATTAAAATGTGTACGTCTACGCCTTCGAGATTCAAAAGGCGTGCCATAATTTCATGTAATTTTGAACAAGTTCAACATGAAAAAACATTATGAAAGACAAACTAATTTTAATGAAAGACTGATAAAGTATAAAATGTGTATGTAATACAAAGGGATTTTTATAAATATAATAATAACAAATGGCGCAACAATATATTTATGTACTCTTCTCTGTCTTTCTAAGGGGAATAACTACCAACAATATCATATTATAGTGTTAACAAAATTTCATCAACAGAGAATAGAGGTCTTTGCCTCTTCCGTAGTGAATAACAACACATAATATCTTACACACCCACCATTCCCCGAATATTGGTTTAAGGCCATTTAACAAATGGTGCGCTAGAACTTAGATCTGCATCTAGTGTCTAATATACTGGCAGTCAAGAGGTTAATCTATTAAGACTTTGACTGTCAATAAAAAACTGTTGAAGGTAAATCCTCCGCTAACGCAGATCACCAGTGACCCCTATGGCGTTTAACGTGTTAAGCAAGAAGCAAGTTAAATATGCAATTTAAGTAAGCTAATAAGTTATTATTCTCAATAGATACCGCAGAGTATAAAATCATATCAGCAATTTTTTTATCATAATTTTGTAACTGATAACAATATCAATTGTAGAGTAATTTAAACATGTACAGAGCAAATTACATCAAAATTGGTAGCCTTTAATCTCTTTTAATTTGAAATACATTATGTTCAAATTAAATTATTAGAACATTTTATACCTAACTAATTACTTAATTGTGTTAGTGGACTGTCATGGCATTAAACATTCTATATTCCAATATCCCTAGTCAGTGGCGTAGCGTATCTTGGCGGGGCCCCATATAAAATTTGTTTGGGGGCCCCAGGGGGCCCTCATGAAAGGTAAAAATTTATCAAAAGCTATATTTTAAAATACCTCCTCTACCCAAATTATCGGACAATGATTAGATACTTTAGTTTTTCCAAAGTTTCTGCCATGGAATAGATTATTCTATATTACATGGTTTCTGCCAACCTTTGATCGTATGCATTTTGTAATTACTGAAATAAAATGTAAATTGAGAAGTTTTTATATTTTTGCTTACACACGTTGGGGGCCCCCGTAGTCCGGGGCCCCATATAATTGATACGGCATATACGGCGCTAGCTACGCCCCTGTCCCTAGTAAAAATTTTGGAAATTGTACCAAATATTTTTTTCATTACATTTTCTTAAAGCTTTGATTACCGCCAAGGGGAAATATGACGTAATTTTATTAAAAATGTGTGTTTATTAGGTACTCTTTTAAGATAAAATTACTGTACCATATACCCATTCAGATGAAATTTAGTACAGAGATTGATGTCTCGTTTTTAACACCTATTATCCCGGAAACCCAGGCAAAGCCACTAGAAAAACTTGTAGCTTAATGGCATGTGACAGTGAATGAATTAACATAATTAGAAGCAGTGTCACTAATAAAGCTAAATATTGGCAAGTCAGTTTAACATTGGAATTTTGCTGCACATACATCGTAATCTACACTATCTCTGCACATATTTGTGGAACTCGTTGAAGATTCGAATTTCGATAATCGTAATCTACATATTATTTAATTATTCTAGATATACAAAATGAAATGAGGAAAAGCGTGCCTAGACTTTTCACGTACTTATAATATCTAAACATTAGATTACAAATAAAATTGTTTTACATTTTTTCAGAAATCTTTGCGTTTGTATTGATAATCTAAACAAAAAGAACTCTCCTGTGTAGCAAGTCTAAGGCACTCACACTCAGACCTAATCACTAGTGATGTGAAGCAGCATGTACTATAAAATTGTTATGTAATACTTCCACATGGACATATTTTTAATTGCTTATGCTATTTAATATCAAAATGCTATATACAAACATTTAAACTAATGCTCAAACCGTTTGAACAGGATTGTGAATACGAAATTGGCGCGAATGAAGTAGGACGATAGCTATTGAACTACATATCAATTGAAATAAATAATGCGAATTATTACCTGATCTCTGCATATTGAAAATGCTAGGAATCCAATATTCAACCCAAAAACATTTCTTGAAACACCAATTCAACACACACTCTCAACGAACTGTCAACAATCTCACCCGCCCATGCACCGCGTAGAAATTGATTTTTGAATATTGTTGCCATTACGAAAAATATTCGCTATCCCGTCTCACGATAATAACAAATAGCGCAATAAAATAAAAATTGTAATGATTATTATAAGTGAAATACAAAATATAAGTAGTACCCACGCTTACCCAACAAAGAAAAACGTAACGTACGTTGTAATACGTATAATTTATATTTTACTTTTCACAGCCATAAATTAGGCTATAAATTAAGTATACGTTACTTTAAATATAACAGAAATGTATAAACAGGAAATTTGGTAACATAATTATCATATTGAAATAACGTTATAATGCCGTTTTCTTTGCCTAACTTTTATACAAAGATTCCAAACAAAATTCTAACACAATCACGAACGATTTAATTTTGATTGATTGATAACTCGGTAACACTGCTCAGCTATTACTGTCAACGTCAAGCTATACAATAATAAATGTTTGTTTGATAAAAAATAAGTTTTTGTCTAATAGAATAATTTCGCCGCAGAAATTATAATAAAAACAAAATAATACTTAAATTAATTCTTCTTCGATACGATTTGAAAGATAAACATAATCGTTTTCGAAAATGAATAATTTCTATAAGCTGCGGCCTGTGTCTTATAAAGTTTTTCAAAGAATTATAAATTACGGCAAAATGAATATTACTAGTAATGCCAAAATAATACATCAGGTAAATATTTAGTTAATTAGTAACGTAGATTTTTACCTTGCTGCTGTTGCTATTGATTCTGTGATTAAACTTAGATTCCTGTTATTGTTTTAGGATATTAGTTTACCTAATAAAATAATAATGTTATCAACGACATTATCTTTTATGTTATGGCCAATTAAAAGTAAAGACCCTGCCGAAAAAAGCGCTGCTCAACATGTTCTGCCTATAGATGATGCAGACAAATTATTTGAAAATGGCCACTATGAAGAATGCTACAAATTACTAGCGGAGCATCAGGTACCAGTATCAGCCAATGGAATATAATTTATTTAGAGAATAGTAATAACACAATCACATTCAATTAATCTATGTTGTGGCAACTATGCCAAATCATTTGATCCATGATTCCATGGTTACTGTTCATACATACCCTTTTTGTTTGATAAGCATTTATATAAATCTAGGCTATGGCCTAGTATTTAGTATACCAAATAAACATATTTGAAACATTTCCAGGACAAAGGCAATGTAGAAGTTCAATGGCGAATATGTCGAGCCTTATATAACATGTCAAAGGAATCCAAATATGACAAGCAATACAAAAACAATCTTGTTTGCCAAGCATATGATTTAATATTGAAAGTATTAAATGATACTCAAGACCATTACGCTGTACACAAGTGGTATGCTTTACTATTGGATGCTAAAAGTTCACTAGATGGCATCAAAGAGCGAATAAGACAATTAGAAAATGTGAAAAGGCATATGGATGTAAGTCATTATTATGTACTCGCTTAATTATTAATATTTGAGTTTATTATTACCTAATGTTAATGAACTCTACACATTGTAAATGTTTTTATTTTCAGATGGCAGTAACATTAAATCCTAATGATGCAACAATTTTGCATATGCTTGGTGAATGGTGTTACCAAATTGCCGAAATGCCCTGGCACCACAGAAAAATAGCTGAAGTTTTATTTGCTTCCCCACCTTATTCAACATATGAAGAAGCACTAGAATATTTCTTAAAAGCAGAAGCAGTTCAGCCAAGATTTTACAGTATTAATTTATTAAGACTCGGGAATTGCTATCTAAAATTAAAAAAAGAAGATCAAGCAAAATATTACTTGCAGCTCGCTGCAAGTTATCCAGCTAAATCAAATGATGACCACAAAGCTAATACTGAAGCAGCAGAATTGTTAAAAAAACTTAAATAAGCTGTTTGTTCGATAATTTGTTATTACTTATAAGAATATTTTATTTAGAATATAAACATTTCCATGACATTTTTTTGTAACATAGGTAATTATTTTATATTAATGGAATCTTGAAGCTTAAAAACTGTGCTATTTGTTATAATGATTAAAATAACCTGTGATTATATAATGTCTTTTTTAAGGGGGGAAAGTCTTATAATGTCTAGATAGAGCGTCACCATACCAATAGGTACCAACTATGCTTATTATACTCTTCAAAAATAACGTTCCAAAATTTCTTACATGTGTGCGTGCGGTATGTGTATGTGGTTTACATGCAGCAAAACTGAACAGCTACGTTAAAAATTCTGCCATCAAATTTATATCTCCCATGTACCAGACCATTTAGAAGTAAAATAAAGAAAATGTACTATTTTGTAATTAACTATCTCTTTGGATTTGATTTAAAGATTTTTTTTATTAGACACTTTGTTGAGATTTATATTTTGTCATATCGTAATTTATTTTCCGTTATAATCAAATATTCGTTTTTAATATTATTTCTATAAAACCAATTTATAAAATATTATTGCAGTTGCACCCTTTCCGTTAAAATTTAAATATATATACTCGGAATTTTAATTCGATTCCAGATTTGACAATTTCAGGGTTGCAACGTTATGACAAGTACTAAATAGTGACGTTGCGAAATTATTCGATATAGAAATGCAATATTTCTGGATCGATTCTTCTCGTTTATAATTTTACTCTCGTAAAGTAAGTATATCAGAAAATTAAATATTTTTGAACCGATAATTTAGTTTTGACGATTAATTAATGATCTGAGACTTTTTTTTATAATTGTGTGTAAAATAAATAAAAAATGTAATCATGAAGGAACATGACAAGTAAAACAGATTGATGTATTATGGTAACAAGTTATTTTATAAATTGTCGCCGTCATCGCTATCGCTATCCTGTCACTTTCTGTAACATTTATTATAAAACACACACACTGATTGTTTATCGATTTTTGTGTTCATCACTACACTATTATATGTGGTATCATTATTTCACAAAATGACAGTAGCTATTGTCAAATCTGGAATCTAATTAAAATTCTGACTATAGATTTAATCATTGCAAATTATGCAAAATAACTGTCAAAAATCGAATCGCACCTTTTTTTAGACGGTTATAATAGTAAATAGTAGGTACAATAAAACAGGTAAGCGTTAGTACAAAGGGTACCACTTTAAATAATAAAATTATTATTTTATTTTTAATTTACAAACAAGTTTGATTTTTTTTGTCAATATTTCCCTCTTTATGAGACTCATCAGAAGGGATATTAAAAAGTTAGGTCACATAGACATAAATTAAATAATGTGATTTTTAATAATGGATAAGTTATCTGTTTAGTACTTTTTAACCGTCATATATAATAGCAAAATTGTATCGAGCATATTATGGCTATCTTTGCAATGTACTTTTTTGTTTATTTTATTTTGTTGCTGATGATTTATTTATTCAGTACAGATAAACCTATGTTAATTTTAATATTTCTAATTTTATTTTAAGTAGGTACATAATTTATTTAATTTTATCGTGTAATCTAGATATTAAAACTTTGACTACTTTCATACTTTTTAAAAAGTATGAAATCGGCTATGTACAAACAAAACAAAAACATTATCTATGTACTTAATTATTATGAAAGATGAAGCGACTTATTATTTGCCTAGGTACCCCTTAAAAAATTACTGCTGTCCCTAAAGTTCCGGCCTAAGTAGGACAAAACGACTGATTAATGTCTAATCATGGAACCGATCAGAATTCAGAAGAAAGGATAAATGTCGAATAAAAAAAATTAAAATATGTTTCAAACGAAAAACCTCAAAATGTTCCTATTGGCAACAATAGCTACTTTTTTAAACCAAATATCAAATCAGTGTTGCTAGATTTGATATCTTCTTTCAAAATAAAGTAAAATATGACTAACAATAAAGATTTCTTGAAAAATGTAAATAAAGCTGCAATGCAATGGAAGGTTAACAAATTCTTAATAAAGACGTTTTTTCTGGAATTACTACTTGAATTATCCCAAATGGGTTCAATTGATGAATCTACTTTGATTAGTTATCACTTAACACACTGGGGAAAGTTTCAAAACAGTATGGTAACCCTGGACTGCGAAAATAAATGGCTGATGGCATTTGAAAGAAGTTCGTTATGTGTTATTTTCTGTGTGTAAAATATTATTTAATTGTAACAGCCATTATTTCATTTACTATTGTTTACTTTATTAAACGGTTACTTTCCGCTAATATGTCCTTGAGTCAGTCAGATGAATTAAGTGACGATGAAGTGTTTTTCGGAAAGCTGACTTTAAAAGAATTAAAGAAACATATATTATGGGATAAACAACAGAAAACGTAAGATAAACTATATAGATTATTATTCGTAACTACTTATTAAGTTTACTCAAATTCCATGCGATCAACAAAGTACCACTATCTCATTCACGTACTATTTAATTTTAGTTTTATGCTCAAAAGTATGCTACATGATGTAGCTAATTTTATTGTGGTCAATCGGTTATACTTCTTTCATCTCAGTACTCACCACTAAATACTGACAGTACCTATGCGATAAACTACATAGATGCACATTGCTTATATCAAATCAATATAACTGAATTTAAGTTAGCTCAAAGCTTGGGTAGCAAAATTAAGTTACAAAATAAAATTTAACCCCCACATTTATCAGTGGTCAAAAGTGCAAATAATTGTAGGGTACTTAAGCATGGATTCTGGCATTACATAATTGAGACCTTTGTTCTTTAACAATTAACATAGCTGGGTTACTTAGCACCATTGCTAATCCGACAAGTTATTTAATTAATTTTATAAACACACGAACTTACAATCTGCTTTTCATTTTAGAATTCATCCTGCAACTGCAATAAACAGCCCAATATGTTCTGATGATCCCAATGAAAGTTTAAAATTATTACAAGCTCATTCACAACCTAATCTACTTAATCATAAAGAAACATCTAATTGTAATGAATTTAATGAATCTGAGTGTGATGTGAAAGCTGTAGATGACAGTTTTATTAAAATGGAGGATATGGTGGCAAAATTATGTGTATCACCCAGAAAGAGTGGAAATGCTGGGGAACTGAATAATACACTAGAAGTTATTGAATATATTTTAAATAATCCTCCTAGTAGTACTAAAGATATAACTGACAAAACTGAACTGAGTAATAAATATACTTCAACTAAGAATGTAGTTAATAAATCTCCAACGAAAAACCACAAAGAAGATAAAAGTAAAGAAGCATCTAAACCCCCAGAACCTCCTCAGAATACTCCTGTCAAAACTAATCATCAGATCCATAAACATACTGAAGGATTTTCAACACCAAGAGACATGAAACAAAAACCCATTTTTAAAACCCCAGCTCAACCTACATCACTTAAAAAACCTTCTGCTACTTCATTGAAGAAGACCCCTAGTCGATCTAATGCTTATCAGCATATCAGCAGCCCAGTTGCTTCATATATCAAAAACTGCCCTATAGTACCATTAGTAAAAGATGTCCACCCAAAAAAGCCTTTACCTGGGACTTCATCTATTCCAAAAATTATCAAGAACACTTTACCAGCAGCTAAACCATGCAACAAGGAAAATGTAAACCTACCATCAGTTGCATACAAGAGTGCAAAGAAAACCAGAGTGGTAAGTTGTAACAAAAAGTAAAAAAGATGTATTCTTGTGAACATACTAACTAAAGTACATCTGTCTCCATTTTCATCACTGTCATTGAAGATACAATATTCATCATAAGTTTTTTTTTTTTCAGATTGACATGCCAGATGATCCGAAATTGCCACAGAGTCAATGGGCAAAGAAAATAATGACCAGTTTACCAAGACCACTGGTTATGAAGCATGATCACAGGGAGTTGAATTATGCCAAGAAAAAACTTATACCTCAACAAGAAGACAGTTTTGCTGATCTCTCATACCACCAGGCTGAAGTCTCTGTGTGCACACAGAAGTCTGCATTCAAGTCCAACAAAAATTTTTGAGCTATGACTTAGTTGTGTCCTATAATAATTATTATTATTTAACAGACTATTATGATTATGTATTTTAATATTAATTTCAAATTATAGTGATGTTTTAATCTAATTTTTTTGTTTTATTACATTGCATTGCAATTCATATTTATCTATCTGAAGTAGCAAGATCAGTAGTACTGATTATGTTGCTATTGTAGTATTAAATTAAGTACCTACCACGGTTTGTTAACTGGAAAAGTGTTATGTACGTCAGGCTGGCCCGGCCCCATGAAATTTAATAATGAGATTGTTATCAATCCAATGTACCCGGGTATACTAATATATGTAACACCTTCATTTTCAATGTAACTCTTTTTAAAAGAAATTACGTGCACTTCTTAGTGGCCGGGCCAGCCTGACGTTTTCAGCCCGGCCACCTTGTTTCCCACTAATCTACAAAAAATACTGGCAATATTGTGCTACAGATGAAATGTACCCTATAATTTATGCATATGTAACACAAAATCGAATCCTAAAATGCAATAGCATACGAAATATTAGCGGTTGCAGGTGGCCGGGCTGAAATTATTTCGTTACTATAAAACAGTAAAACTGCAACACCTACCAAAAAATAATACCAGTACATAATGAGATATAGAGATATAGAATACATGTAACGCTTTCATTTTAAATTATAATACATATTTAGAAAGAATAATCACTTGAAATTATATTTCAGCCCGGCCACCTAAAAGCGGTAATATTCCCTAAAATCTTATGCTAATTTGTACAGTAAAACCTGATACAGCTATGAAATGAAAGTTACATTCGTTTTGTTTTAGTCGTATACCTTTAAGCCTTCTGTTTGACTAGATTATAAAAATCTGAGAAACTTGCCGAAGAGTGACTATCATTTATTAACTAATTTCAGGACATTTGGTTTGTTGAGTGAAACAAAATTGGTAATTGTCATATTTTTTTAATAATCATTTTTGAAATTAGTTAGACAACATTTGTACTTATATTAATTAGGTACTATAACAATTGTTAATTATAAATAATGTAAAAAAAGGTTACACATTGATAATAACACAGTTATCAAAAAATTATAGTAATATCAATATTACCTTAACATCGCACATTCATTCATTCAGAATATTAGAAGATAATTTTTGGTTAAATACTTATTATACCTTGGTAAAAAATCACAGATTTTCATAATGATTTTTACATCTTTTCTGTCTACTCGGGGAAAATATCTTACGACTTAGGTTGGGACGCGACACAGGCGCCGTCTAAAAATCGGTGGTAGCGTCTGTGAACTATTATCTTTGTATGGTTATGTTGTGAAGCCAAAAACGGAGAAAATATATATAGGTTTAGGTATTATGTATCCAACAATTATTATGTGTGATTTATACTACTTAGTTTATTAATAAAAATATCATAGTAACCAATTTTGTTTCACTCAACAAACCAAATGTCCTGAAATTAGTTAATAAATGATAGTCACTCTTCGGCAAGTTTCTCAGATTTTGATAATCTAGTCAAACAGAAGGCTTAAAGGTATACGACTAAAACAAAACGAATGTAACTTTCATTTCATAGCTGTATCAGGTTTTACTGTACAAATTAGCATAAGATTTTAGGGAATATTACCGCTTTTAGGTGGCCGGGCTGAAATATAATTTCAAGTGATTATTCTTTCTAAATATGTATTATAATTTAAAATGAAAGCGTTACATGTATTCTATATCTCTATATCTCATTATGTACTGGTATTATTTTTTGGTAGGTGTTGCAGTTTTACTGTTTTATAGTAACGAAATAATTTCAGCCCGGCCACCTGCAACCGCTAATATTTCGTATGCTATTGCATTTTAGGATTCGATTTTGTGTTACATATGCATAAATTATAGGGTACATTTCATCTGTAGCACAATATTGCCAGTATTTTTTGTAGATTAGTGGGAAACAAGGTGGCCGGGCTGAAAACGTCAGGCTGGCCCGGCCACTAAGAAGTGCACGTAATTTCTTTTAAAAAGAGTTACATTGAAAATGAAGGTGTTACATATATTAGTATACCCGGGTACATTGGATTGATAACAATCTCATTATTAAATTCCATGGGGCCGGGCCAGCCTGACGTACATAAAGTGTTACATAAAACACACAATAATAGTAATTAACACTTTTATTTCATAAATGGTAATATCAAGTTCCTTATAAAAGTACATAATAAGAGTTTCAAAGGTGGTACAGTATGTGAGGCTGCAGACGAAAAGAAGAGCACTGTATGCTCGTATTACAAACAATGTAATATCATTAAAAATTGTATAATGTTTGTGCCAAGTCTCATTGTGCAGGATTGGTATTTACTATCCATAACAATATTACGCAGGATAAATGCATTTATCTTAAGGTTATATGTACTACATGTTAACATTGTATATTTTTTAATTTTTAAATATGTACTAAAATAGTGCAGAATAGTTAAATATAGCAGGCACGTCCTATGCGAAATTTCTTATTAGGTACATACATTTGGCCCATACTAAAGAATAAAATTATGCTTATGAGCATTTAAATATATATAGCTACATATATATTATATAAATTTTTAGATCAATAAGTAAATAGTATACCAAATAGTATTTTTATAAAACAATTAGTGTAATTTAAAATCCTGCATCAATATTTGACCTCATGCATACTCGAGCTACTAAAATAAGTACCAAGTTGTACCAAACAAGACAAATATGTAATTACTTGTATTTTATAACTTTGGTAGGTCTATCTTTATACACATGAATACATATTTTTGTGTGTAAATTTGAATAACCTTGCATTACTGGCCATGCCAGTTACTCATGAAACTAACCATCGACGAAATTCTGGTTTTAAACATTTTACCAAAATTACAGTTCATAGATAAAGGCTAGTAATTTTGTTGTTCAATATGTAAAAGCACTTTCGTACTCGTCTCTTATATGACTAATACAGATAAATAAATGCGTTCTACGTCAAAGTACAAATAGTAATTCGTTTAGCACCTGTATAAAAAGCAGAAGTCACATTTAATTTTATATAGTCTTAAAACTATTTCTAGGATAAGTGAACGCCGGTTAACACTAACATTCCGCAAAATACACCTTTTGACATAGTTTCAAAGTAACTATAAACTATACTGTAGTACACTTCTTCATTATATTATTAATCTAACAATGCAAGAAAACGAGAGTATAAAGCTCCATTTCGTATTGCAAAATACATTTGCAGGCACAACTTCATAAGTTTTATACACTGCTTGTCACAATATGGGGTTATTTGTCTCCTAACAATGGGTAATACAGTAGTATAGACATGGTGCAAGTTTATTATGGCTTGGCTTACACCAGTGGCCTATTACGCAACATATTATTATATACAGGACACTAGGAAGAACAACTCTAAATATGCACACGATTTTTGCATATTTGTAGTCAAGAATATAACACATGACAGCAGGGACAAAAAGCATAAAATGCAATACACAGCACAAATTGTAAAAAGACTAGAATAATAAAAGGAGGCTGCTGGAACATTACATAACAGAATATACATGTATAGAAATGGTTGCATTGTTTAAAAAAAGTAAATAAGTTTTAAAACTCATAAGTCATTTTGTAAAATATTAAAATTCCAAATAATTTAAGAGATTCTCATTGTGAGATAAATATTTTCAATATATCATTTACAAAGTTCTATCGTAATTATTGTCACATAAAACCACGCTTATGCTTTTATAAATTAGGTGAGCTGTCCTGCTTAACAATGGATTCATAACAATGATCCATACATCCACTAATTTGATTAGTGGACTTTATCGTCGACTAGCAGTATTCATACCAAATAGACTAAGCTCATTTGACTACATGAGATAATGTATTCGAGATAGTTCTGGTGATTATATCTTATAATACATAAGTGTGACATTATGTAGTTATATATAAAGAATAATAAAATTTGCATTAAAAAAGATCACAATAACGTAAATAATCACTTTAAGCTTACACAACTATTTAGTGCGTATGACTTTAACATAATAAACAAGAAATTATAATATTCTCATAAGTTTAAACACGCATGCTTTTAATATTAATGTAATAAGTGGCGGCGCTAGGTTGGTATCTAAAATCAAGTGATACATTAATTTATTTTCCAATGTTTAGATCCAATACCATTTTTAAAGTGGACCACACGTGTGTCTGTTTTGCGCTTCAAAGCATGCAAATTGATGGATGGACGGCTCATGAATCAATTCATAGAAGAATTAGATTGAAAATAAAACAGAGCGCTATTTTAGTCAGATCTTGGGCAATCAGCCATACCAAACGTCAGCATCGCCACAAACTATATGTATGTTAGTATAAAAGTTAGAGATTCTTTAAACCATTAAAGTATAACCAAGTAAATAAGTAATCCAAAAATAAAAACAATTAAAAAATATAGACATATCAAAATTTCACAGGTTATAATGGCGGATTACATCTCGCCTGAGTGTGAATCCTTACGTTTACAGCATACCAGGACGGTCAGTCTCCTGGTTTCCAGATTTCTCAAAGAACATGAAGTCCTGAAAAGAAATATTTTACTTAATATGAATAATAATAATTAAATGACGAATTAGAGATGAGGAAGTGATGTAAATTGTTCATTGCAATGTTTATTGTTTACTACTAGCTAAACACTTTTCAGGAGAGAAAATCATAAAGTATCTGACTCTTATTGACTAAAATACCCCCGTTTTTAATCTAGCTTCGGGCCGGAACCATGGAAATCGCAGCTTTGAAACAACTTAACACCTAATAAAAGAAAGAGAAAAAAGTGGTGTTGCTTCTAGAAAGAGAATACCTACATTTAAAAATACTTTAATCATCATCATCATCAACAGCCTATAAATGCCCACTGCTAAGCAAAGCCTCTTCTCACACGGAGAAGGTTTGATCATTAATCACCACACTTACTCAATGCGGGTTGGTGATTACAAACTTATAATTAAAAATTATAAGCCCAGGTTTCCTCACGATATTTTCCTTCACCGTTTGTCAGTGGTGTCTAAATAATCTTAGAAAGTACATTAACTTCGAAAAAGTCACATTGGTACTTGTTGTTGGGAGGTTTCAAACCTTCGGGCCACCACAACGTTGTCAATAACATGACACACTTCAAATATTGCCTAGGCTATGCGGTTGTCTTATAAATTGAATGACATGACAAGTGTTAGTGTCCTTTATCAATCAATGTATGGTAGTTTATCAAACCCTTTAGATCCATGTATGTAAACAGTGTCAGGTTTATTGATAAACCCCAAACAAAGCAATCAAAACTACACTACATTTTTTTAATTACTATATACCTTCCCATTAAAGCATACAGTTTTCTACCATAATATTAAAATAGATATCACCATATTTGATGACATGTTATAAATTACACTATTGTTTAATGGAGTATCATTAGCCAATTAGCCTGAGGAAATTCGTTGATTAATACTTGTTGAACATTATTAAAATAGTATTAGCTACCTGACCCTGACTTCATACAACCTCAGTCAATTAACTTGAAACTTTAATTAGTCACAAAACTTCTACTTTATTAATGAATCATTCTGTTTATTGGCAAATTCAGTATGAAGTTTTGTTCCGTACTTTTTCACGGTATCACGTCTTATTATAATTTCTTATGTAGTATGCAAATAAGAGCTCCTGCTCAACTGAATTACGATCAGAACGTGAACAGAGGTTTACACTTACAATGAGGAAGCAGGCTCCCAAAAGAACGGCCTTTATTTTGACATCCAGATCCATAGGGAAAGTAATTCCGAAGTAATCAGAATCGGTGAATGCCTCCCGCGCCAAACCAGACCATTGTTTCGTAATCTTACCAACTTTAGTTTCTCCATCTTTGGAGTAAACCTGAAATTGTAATATAAAGATTTTATTGTCTGTGTAAAACTGTCTAATCCATAAATCTATGTATTTTGTGAATGCTTCTTTAGCAACCCTAAACAGTTAAGGTACTTACATGAAATTCAACATCTCCACAAATGGAGAATGTGCACAGCGGTCCCTTGATTCTAAGGACGACGTCACCTGCAGCGTTTTTAATGACGTAACAGGGCTTGCAAATAGACCATTCTTGTTCAATGGAGCCAATCACAGTGCCTGGTGGGGCAGAGACCTCCATGCTTTGCAGCCAGCATGGGCACCAGCACGAATCACAAGCCAGTGGACGATGGAGGTGGATGACCTGTTTTAATATAAACAATATAATTATTCTTTATTGTGAAACTGTTATGTGAATAGTAGCTGTCATTGCTAATAGCTAACATTCCAATAAAAGGGCTAAATTAATTAATATTATTGCGCATGATACGCATACAAATATGTAAATATGTATTAATATGGAACATAGCAAATTCGCGCACTTTTGCAGCGGCACTAGAAACAGGTCGGAACAAAACTAATAGTAGTCAAGGCCAGTCAGTAATTGTTATTTGAATTTAGCAAACCATGACGAGATAATTTTGACCTTCAATGCAAGAGAAATAAATAGTGTATGTTTTAGAGTTATCTCATCAGTACGGCGGAGATAACACAGTAGGAAATTATTCAATAATATATCTTTAAAATAAACATTGCGTTAATATTCTAACTTTCATGTACATACTATAAAAAAAATGTTATGTAAATTCTATTAAGCTATGCAAATATAACTTGTTAGCTGTGTGGTAGTAAAAATTTACCTCATTCCTGAAATTATCCATGATTTTCATGTCGAAAGGTCGCATAGGTCCACAGCAGTTTCTGGTACAGCAATCATTGTCTTCCACAGCATAGTAAACTTTTTGGCCAACACTATTTTTCACTGTGTACTTGTTGTTGGTCTCAAAACCCACAAATGCCTCCAAAAGCTCCACCTTTTGATGTACCAGTAATCCATCAATCATAGAAAGGTATTCCAATCCTGGCGGACAATTGCTGAGCCCTTGCGGTACTGTCATCCATCCACCTGAAAATATATAAAAAAAAATTGTAACAAAATATTAGTGCGAATAGATTACTAATAGCCTGATAAGCAAATAAAAACATTTTGTACTGCCTTACTGGTCGCGTGGTTGTAAGTGCGACTAGGCAATCTAATAAACGTAATAAATGTTACTTAGCATAATTTATACATATAATAAATTATGAATAAAGTTAAATAAATTAGGTACCTGTTAGTTTTTTTTATATTCTAGAAACAAGATATGACAACACACATACGAAAGAATATATAAGTAGGTATGAGTAAAAGAATTAAGATAGATTAGTAAACACCCTCCACCAAACTATGATTGGTTGTAAAATAAAACCTTTTCTCTTCATCTGATAGAAACTTTTCATAACCACTTGTAGGAGATTTAAACAACTTTCTACAAATTCTATTCAAGCTTCTTTTAACACTAGAAACACTCAGTGTTTCAAAATAAACACTTTTATGGCGTATACTGCCAATAGCTACACACTTCTTTTTGTTTGAATAATATTTGCTTTTTAACCACTTGATACACTTTTTACCATTCTTATTATCAGAATCAACTGAGAATAAATCTAAGTTGGTATTAATATCTTTTGACATAGTGCAAGATATTTAGAAAAATATATTTAGAAGTATTAACCACTCAGTACAATACCACTGAACATACTGCAACACCAACATTTTATCAATAGTCTTGTAGCAAAGGTATCATTGCACAAACAGTAAACACCCTTATCTGAGTAGAAGTCAACAACTTCTATGTGTAAAGAACAAATATGACAGATCAAATACAACAATGAATGACAATGTTAAGAAATTATTGCCTTTAAGTAATGTAATAAAATTAAATATAAGTAATGTATATTAACTCGTCGAGTACCAGTTTTGTAGACACAATTATAGAACAATAGGTTGCAGTCACCGGTGACCGCTTGGTGTTTGACAGTTTAAACAGTGACTATATCACTGTTTCATTTCAGGTGAGTAAGTAATAAAGCTAATTAATACTAGTCATACATTTTATAGCAAGCTATACCCTATAATATATTACCAGAGTTTGATTGAACACACTAATCTTTAGAACTATTTGGTCTGAATTGAATAATTCTTTTTGTGTTTAATAGGCCATTCTTAGGCTATAAAAATTACGTTGCAATCAATAGGAGTTGAGCAGCAGGTGAAACCGGGCGGGTGTAGGTAATATTATATACCGCTAATAAAATAACTATGTTACAATCATTTACAATGTGCAATTGTACATACTTAGTTATGTTATATACGTTACCACAACCATTAACAACATTAATGTATTTGTTATCTAAAATCAGGACTCATGCAGATATTTTAGTTACATAAATGAGTATACCTAGGTACTTGTATTAAAATAAACTTCTGCTAATGTGTTACCAACTAGGTACAATGACAGAAATATCAAAGTGCATAGTTATAGGTTAATTCAATATTAAACATAAAATTTTCTAAAATTAATTGTTATTTTAGTAAAGATGGTATAGTGATGGAGTGGTACGAGCTTACCTGGTGGCACTTGAGGACCGGGCTGTTGAACTACAGGTCCAGGTGGACCATATCCCGGCTGTGGGTAGCCCGGCTGAGGATACCCTGGTTGAGGATGAGGGTATCCCGGTTGGAAGCCAGGTTGAAATCCAGGTTGGAACCCGGGCTGCATTCCTGGTAAAGGTTGGGCTCCAGGTGGAAGTTGGGGTCCTGGAGGTGGAGGGCCAGGGTATCCTCCTTGTGGATTCATGGGATAGCCCTCTTTACTGTCAGGAGGCGGAGCATATCCTTGAGACGGGGGGAAATTTGGGGAATAAGGTGTTGGTTTGTGCGACATTTTTATCTAATAAACAAAAACAAAATTTCAATTAAAACTTACACGTTAATATTTTATTTCTACAGTGCTATAATTAATTCATATAATTTTAGTTAGTGCCCCTAATGACCTTTTTAATCAACTAATATTAGTTGTTGCGAATGCTAGATTTCAGCCGGTGCCGCGCCTATCATGTATCAGTGAATACTGTAAATGAAAAGCTATTCATATATTCCTAGTCTAAATTAAGCTCTAGGAAGCGAAACTGAAAATAGTAGCCAATAGAATAGTAAAGTTATAAAGCTAACGCGATTAGCATTTTTTGTGAAAAATGTCTCATGTGTAATAATATATGTATTCGGTGAAATATGATACAAGTTTGAAATGAACAGAATAAGAATGATGTTATGATTACACAAATAAAAAATTAAACAATAATTTCAACTTACTTTGAAGACAAATTGTTTATTTTTCGGCTTGGTTTGTCACAAAATTTTGTGACCGATCGTAAAGTAAATGAGATGGCCATAGGAAATAGATAGACCGGCGACCGCAGCTGTAGACAAGTACCGGATCATTTTAAATATTTCGTCCAAATACTTTTTTATTCTTAATTTAGTTCTTTTTTAGTCAATTTAAATAAATAAATTCATTTTTATGTAAAATAAAAAAAACACAACTGTTGTTACAACAGTTTGTTTTTAATAAATTTTCTTCATCAGTTTTTATTTTTGTCTATGTCAATATTGAATGTTTTCGAACGAAATACAGTCCAACCAACCTAACAACTTAAACAGTATCCGGTAGAATGTTGCAATAACTAGACAAAATAAAGAAATAGCAGAAAAATCTGTGAAAGGGTATTTATTTTAAGAGGTCTATTTTACACAAGAAGTCATGAACAACAACATGAAACACTATAATAGCAACTAAGATTTTTTTGCCTTGACATATAACTTTTCTAGTAATATTTAATTTGGCAGTGTTACCAATTAACAAATTGTAAACAACGTCGATAAAGATCACCAGTACTTTCCACAGGTAATATTGAGATAATAAATTATCATAATAAAAATTGTCAGTGGCTATAATGTAGGTGAGAGAAGAATAAACAATAAAACATTTAAATACGACATTTGAATATGTTTTCTACTTGGTAGAATTGAAGAAATTGTACTGGCAACATCAGTATCCGTTTGGTACTATTTTCCATTCACCAATCAAACCATTGCAATAAGGTGCATTGACCAACCTGCTGCTGCTGCTGAATCTAGCCAGCAGTGAACAAGTCAGTTGGTAGATGTTTGCTTCCGCGTTTGTATCTTTGAAGTAACTACCACCGCGATGCAGACGAAGTTGTTTTGCCACTCATCTAACTAAAATGGCGTCGCTGTTTATCAATTAGCTTGCTCTATGTGTACATTACTCAGTGATCGTATCCGAGTGAGTCATAAACCAACATAGCAATGACATTTTTATAGCACATAGTGAGAATACGTTTCTAAAACGTTGTGTGTAGACTGGCAAGTGTGATTTGAGGAACATAATAATGCGCGAATTCAAAGTGGTCGTGTTGGGCTCGGGTGGGGTCGGAAAAAGTGCTTTGACTGTGCAGTTCGTGTCAGGATGTTTCATGGAGAAATATGACCCCACAATAGAAGACTTCTATAGGAAAGAAATAGAAGTGGACAATTCACCATGTGTTTTAGAAATATTGGATACCGCCGGCACGGAACAATTCGCTTCAATGCGAGACCTGTACATAAAAAACGGACAAGGATTCGTCGTAGTATATTCATTAACGAATCATCAAACGTTTCAAGACATCAAACCAATGAAGGAATTGATAACACGCGTGAAAGGATCTGAGCGCGTGCCCATTCTGTTGGTGGGCAACAAAGCGGACTTGGAGCACCAGCGTGAGGTGTCGAATGCAGAGGGCTCGGCGCTCGCGCAGATGTGGGGCTGCCCCTTTGTGGAGGCCTCCGCCAAGAGCCGCACCAACGTTAATGAGATGTTTGCCGAAATTGTGCGTGAAATGAACGTTAGCCCTGAAAAAGAAAAGAAAACTTATTGTTGTTGTACAGTGCTTTAATATTTAGAGTGTAATGTGGCATTTATTTCTCGTAAGACTGCAAAAGCGAGGCAGGATTGTGTCTGCCTCCGCTCGACGGCCGATCGCCTCCAGTGGGGAGCTCGGCGACGGCGCGCCGGCCCCGGCCGCTGGGGCTCCGGCGGTCGCGAAGCGCGTCATATCACATTGTTAATATCGTTGATACATACCATTGTCCAATCAAGGTGCTTTACTTATATTTTCATACTTTATTACTGGTAGATACTCCCGCAATATGGTTATAACGTGAACAAAAATCCTTATTGGAAGCATAAATAGCTATTCAATTCAAATGCAAATAAAACAAAGCTTGATTTTGTTTGTGATGATATTTTCAGACACTAGCAACAGCCGTGTCTGTACCAAAAACATGTATTGTAAAGTAATGTTAGTCAACTTTGTATATATTATAATTTCATGAGATTAATGATGTTGAAGGGCAAGGACAATTTAGAAAATTAAAAAGCCATCCAATATGCAATAAACTAATGATTGTGTAGAGTGGTGTGCGAGAATGAGTAAGAACTTACACCTAAGTGATGTCGCAGATTATATTTTATTGTGTAAATTATGTTTATATGAAAATCAGTAATCAAGGAAAGCAGTATGTTTTGTCAGTTGCGTGATTGTGTTTTAAAGTCTACCAGGATTTGTGATAATACATATAACAAAATACCTATAATAAAAGTTTTAAGTGGGAGATTGAAAAGTGAAGTTTTATTCTTCAGTAAATAAGGTAACCAATCCATTTTGATATTACACAATTTACATAATATATTTTAGTACAAACAGTGAAACAACACTTGTATTTACATTCTAGAGACAACTTACAAACATAAGTTTATGCAATTCTATAATAATCAAATTGTTCTTTTTATGTGGTTTAACTAAATGTTGTCTTGGTAGCATTTTGTATACTAGGAATACTATTTATAATAATTATACCAATAAAATTTGTGATATGAATAGAATGCGAATAAATTACAATTGCATTTCAATTTAGTCATTTAATGTATGTTTACATATTTTCATTTTTATCTATTGAAACACTTTTGTTTGTTAGTATCCTTTCTCTTTAAAGTAATTGTTTTCTCTTTAATTTCATTTTATGTAGATAGCACTGGACAATTATAGGTAATTAATTGCCCAGTGCATACCGAGTGAGCACTCAACTGTGCTGATCATATCATCTATAACATGGATTGTGTTGCAGTCTGTGCAAACTAGTATGACATTGTTACTGATAATAAACAGTCTCATTGATAGATTTCAATTAGATCAATAATAATTACTATTAGGCAATTCCAAATGTTTGTGGGTTCTTAGAACATTTTGTTTTCATGTTTTGTAAGCAACAAGTCGGTCAAAATTATGCTTTATTGTTTATAGACCTTTATAGACCAAATTATTTTGTTATTTATGCAACAAGCTGAAATATGCCTAGTGTACTCGGCTTTAAGTGCACTAATTAATTGGAATATTGTTGCATTAAAACGCGACGGTTCCTTGTGGCAATCGCCAAGTGGCACGGGTAAACGACTGGGCTCTTGGCGCGTGCTGTTAAACGTTAACCAGCTGTTGGACCGTGACGTACGATGAGCGCAACCATCCTCGTTTCTGCAATAACTTCTCAACTACTTAGTTATTGCCTTAATATTTACGCTTAATTAATTGTTTCCACCTAGGCTGTTACGCGCATTTTAACGTTAGTTTTTGGCTGTGCAAGCATTTATATACATATTATTAAGGTTCAAATACATAGATTATTAAAAAACAGCACGACCTGAACCTTTAAAACTTCGATCTCTAACCCAAGCGTGAATATTATGGCTAAATCCTCTTTTGTAGAAGAGGTCCATTGTCCAGCAATAGACGCACGCCTCAAGAAAATAAAAAT